GCCTCGGCCTCCCAGAGAGCTAGGATTACAGGCGTGAGCCACCGGCCTCATAAATTGCCTTTGCATTGCCCGAAACTGATTTAATTTTTCTAGAACTAACCTTCCACTCTTTTATAGAGCCGGGTTGGGATGGGAGGGTTGGGGGATGCATCGTGGCTGGCTGTGCGGGGTGGAGAAAGGGATCCTCTGTTTGTCCCTCGGGTTCACGCCAGCCCCCCATCCTGCTGCCTCCAAATGTTCAGCCCCGCAGAGGTTCTGTGGGGAACAAATAGCTACTTACCTGCGCCCCCTAGTGTCAGCATGAGGTTTAACTCTGCCTGCCTTAAAGTGAAATCCCTAGCTCCCTGCTGTTGTGTCCTGCCCCGTATTTTTTGTCTGTATGAGTTAATACTTTTAAAAATTCCTTTTCCCTATCACTTTGACCCGGTTGGGGCGAGAGATCAGAGAACGAACACAGCCAATCTGCCGTTTTAAATTGTGTACCAGCTTCCCTGGAAGTGCAATAGAAATCTGTCCCAAGCCACTGATTTTTTTTTTTTCTCATTTCTTGCCATTTTGTTTTTGCAGGATAATTACAGGGGCATGAGGCCTCTTTTCTTGACTTTTTATTTATTTATTTTTTTTGCAGGTTATTGAGAAAGAAGCAAAAAATTTTATTGATGAATCTTTCAAGACACTTCGATCAGCTGAAGCAGCATTTGACATGCTTTTAAAATTCAAGCATATTCGTTCACGGGAGGCTATTAATCGACAAATGATGTTGAAATTTAATGATATTCTTGCTCAGTATTGCAAAGAGGTAATTGAAAAATCGGTAGCTGGCAGAGCAGTGAAAATGCACTTGGCAGAGTGTGAACAACCGAACCATTATCTGCCTTTCCCATTCGAATTCAGAGAAACTATAGGGTTTTCCCAAATAAGCGTGTCACATAATACAGGTAACCCAAAGTGGGTTTGTTTATTTAGCGGAGAAATCTGATATGAATTTATTGAGTATAATATTATGTACCTGATGTTGTGCTGAGCCCTGTGTGAGTCAGTAATAATCTTGGCAATAGTAGTAGCCAAAGCGCACCATGTCCAAGGATCATATATGTATGTATCATTAATTCAGAAAAATGTATTCAGTGCTCACATATTCCCAGTATGGTGTTGGGCACAGAGAGATAAACGAAACATAGCTTCTGCTTTCGAAGAAATCAGTATCTAGCGGGAGAAACAAACAGACAAAAAAATGCTTATTATCTTATTCAGAATATAAAATGAGAATATGTGACTAATTAGATCAGCATAGGGTAGTATTAGATAAAAGCCTAAAGTGGTCTCCTAATGTATAATATTAGTTTTCTATTGCTGCTGTTAACAAATGACCACAAACTGAGCTACTTAAATTTATTATCTTACAGTCCTGGAGGTCAGAAGTTTGCCGCAGGTGTCCCTGGGTGTAAGTCATGGTGTCAGCAGGGCTGGAGTCCCTCCTGCAGTTTCCAGGGAGAATCCTTTTTTTTTGTTTGTTTTTCCCGGATTCTAGAGGTTCATGGCATCCTCCTATCTCCAAAGCCAGGGACGACCAGGTTCACATCTATTCACTGTGACCTCCTCTGACTCCCCCTTTCTGTTTTGCGGACCCTTGTGATACATGGGACCTGCCCAGAAAACCCAGGATAATCAGTTCTAAGATCCGCTGGCTGACAACCGTAGCTCCATCCGCAACCGCAGCTCTCCTTTGCCGAGTAGCGCAATAGATTGTCGGGTCCGGGGGGTTGGGACGCAGACCTCTGGGAGGCGGTCGTGCCTGCCACACCCAGGTACCCATTTGAGAGTGTGGAAATGCTTATTTTATTTTATTTTATTTTTTGAGACAGAGTCTCGCTCTGTTGCCCAGGCTAGAGTGCCATGGCGTCAGCCTAGCTCACAGCAACCTCCAACTCGTGGGCTCAAGCGATCCTCCTGCCCCAGCCCCCAAGTAGCTGGGACTACAGGCATGCGCCAGCATGCCCAGCTAATTTTTTCTATATATATATTTTTAGTTGTCCAGATAATTTCTCGCTCTTGCTCAGGCTGGTCTCGAACTCCTGAGCTCAAACAATCCGCCCGCCTCGGTCTCCCAGAGTGCTAGGATTACAGGCGTGAGCCACCGCGCCTGGCCTGGAAATGCTTCTTTTAAAATGCAAATCGGCCACTGGTCACATCTAGAACGTATTTCAGGGTTTCTAATAATTCATTCAAACCCATGTACACAGTGTGCAAAGTTTTTTCGCTGTAAGGCAATTTGAAGCATTGCATAGGTTAAACCAAAGAAAAAAATTGCTAGACAGCCTAAGAAAAAGTAATAAATAATAAGGAAGTAGTAAAAACACTCTTCTATATGTTAGAATATTTCTTGACACTACAATTTTCATTTCCTTACAGATTCAGATCTCAAATCTTTTTGGGCTAACACGGTGATGTTTGTCCCTTACAGAATGCATCTGATTGCTTTTCAGATTGACATCATTAATAAACTCTTCGTCCAGAACCTGGAAAACCCTCCACTGTATAAGAACCTCCCGCCCGTGGCGGGTGCGATCTGCTGGGAACGGTCCCTGTTCCATCGCATGAAGCACACCATCTTGAGATTTCAAGAAGTGGAGGAGATACTGGAGGGTGACCGGGGACAGGAAGTACGTGGCTTTTGCTGGAACTGTCTCCTTTTGTATTTAACGCTTTAATCCTAGACAGGCTGGTCTCCCCGATGTCATCCAGGGGAGTCGTCAGATCTGGGTGGCTGCCACGCTGCAGAGGCCACGGAGAATTGCCCGGGTGAGAAGCAGCTCACTTTCAAATCCACGCCTGCAAGTTGGAGGGTCTTCCCTGTGGTCCGTGATTCAGGGCTCATGTGTAAAACTACCATCTGTGTTCTTTCTCTTTGGCATCTTAATACATAGGACATCTTCCAGGTCCTGGTCACGTGAGCTTCTTCTTGCGCTAGATTTTTAGCTTCTCAGGAGGATGACCACTATTTTGGGGTACCATCTCCCCTGTACCCATGGATTTTTGTTTGTTATATAGCAGAGGTCGGCACGCCTTTTCTTTAAAGATGCAGACAGTAAATATTTTATTCAACCTGCCATTGTTGCAAGAAAGTAGCCCTAGATAATATGTGTACGGACAGGCGTGGCTGAGTTGCAATAGAACCATTCGTGGATGCTGCAGTTTGAATGTCATACAGTTTTCATGTGCTATGAAGCATTGCTGTTGTTTTGATTTCCTTCTAATCATCCCCACAGTCATGTAAAACCATCCTTGGTTCACGGGCTGTAGCAGATTCAGCCCTTGGTCCCTGCTGTCCCGCCCACATTTCAACTCACACCACGCCCACCAACCCTCCAACGTGTGTGAAACTCGATCTACTTCCTTTTTCAAAATGTGTTCATAGGTCATTAAAAAAACATACGTGTGTGTGTAGAGGGAGACGAGAAAACATTATTTCCAAGTACAGAATGACGCTGCGTGCGTTCTTCGGCAGGTGAAACAGAAATATCTGGAAGTGGGCAGGACGATGAAGGAGTACGAGGACAGGAAGTACGAGCAGTGGAGAGACGCCACGGAGCAGGTCCTCCCAAACCTCATGAAGAAGAGTCTCCTGACCAAGGTGTGTATTTCCGGACTCTTGTCTCCAGCTGTGGTGGCTGCGTCAGATGATGGCGTCTGCGTCATTTTCCCGAGGTTCCGTTTGTTGACCGTCATGAAGTTGACAGGTATTTCCAAAATCAAAGACAGAGGAGGGCAGCGGGTGACAGGGAAGAAGAGGAGAGGCCACAGGAAAGAGAACAGAGGTAGCGGGAGGGCATGGTTAGGACTCGGGCTGGACCTGGGCAGCCCTACCGGCTCCTTGGGCAGGAGGCTTCACTCTGAGCCTCAGTTTCCCCGTTTATGAAATGAGTTGGATCAGATGACCTAAACAAGTAAAGGGTTAGTTCAACCGTATACAAAGTAGCTGCTGTCAGTTGACCTTTTTTTTTTTTTTCCTGAGATGGTATCTTGCTCTGTCACGCGGGCTACAGGGCAGTGGTGTCATCCTAGCTCACTACAGCCTCAAACGCCTGGGCTCAAGTGGTCCTCCTGCCTCAGTCTCCCCAGTAGCTGGGACTACAGGCGTGCGCCACCACCCTCGGCTGATTTTTCTTATTTTTAGTAGAGATAAGGTCTTGCTTTTGTTCAGGCTGGTCTTGAACTCCTAACCTCAAATGATCCTCCTACCTCAGCCTCCCAGAGTGCTGGGATTACAGGCGTGAGCCACCACACCCGGCCCAGGGGACCATTAATAACCTACAGAAAAATGCCATTCCATGTGATTCATCCTTATCTTTAGCACGGGGCCTGGCACATAGCGGGTGCTCAGTAAACGCACACCAGCTGTTGTGGAGGAAAGATGTGGCCTGGCAGTTTTAGGTCTTTGGTCCCTGAAATTCTGACGTAGGTGCCGCAGTGAGCGGAGAGGCCGGGTGGCCCCTGCAGGGAGCTGGTCTGCTCAGGTCCCATCAAAGGGGCAGCTGTCCCCGACTTCAGGCTGTTCTTGCTACATGACTGACTTTCCAGTTTTGCAAAGGATGCGAGAATTCTGGGTTATTTATGTGAAATCACCCAATTTTAAAATGGCGACTAAGTGGAATTCTTTAAAAACTCGATTCACCAAAGTACGTATTCCAGCCAGTTTGAGCCAGTTCCGCCCCAGTCAAGGGCTCAGCACTTACCTTCTTCAAATCCACTTTTAACTTGGGTCGTCCTGACCCGACTGCTTCCGGGACCGCCTTCCGTGCTCCGCAAACGTCTCTTCTGCCGTCTTGTCTCTTCCGCAGTTGTCCACCGCTGTCGACGAGCCCTTGACTGCAGAGAGGGGAGCTGTGTTTGCCATCAATTTTTCACCTGCGCTCAAAGAAATTATTCATGAAACAAAGTACTTGGAACAGCTGGGGTTCATTGTCCCTGAATTAGCAAGAAATGTTGCTCTCCAGGAAGACAAATTCCTTAGGTAAAAAGATTCTTCTCTTAAATTAGCAGTAAACTTTTTAGCCTTGGGACCTTTTTACACTCTTTTTTTTGAGAAAGGTTCTCCCTCTGTTGCCCAGGCTGGAGTGCAGTGGCATCATCTTAGCTCACAGCAACCTCAAACTCCTGGGCTCAAGCGATCCTCCTGCCTCAGCCTCCTGAGTAGCTGGGACTACAGGCGTGTGCCACCACGCTTGGCTAATTTTTCTATTTTTTGTAGAGACGGGGTCTCACTTTTGCTCGGGCTGAAAAGTAGTCAGTATTTTTCAAAAAATAAAGTTAATGAAAGAGTGGTATTGTTTTAAATTTTTGCAAATCTCTTGATCAAAGTCGTAGACGGGTTCATGGTCTTTGGTAACCTACTGATTACAGGAGCTTTGAGTTCAGTGGGGCGCGTCCTCACGTCAATGCCCTGTCGGTCATGTGCAGGTACACAGACGGGATACAGCGCATGTTGGATCACTATCACATGCTCATAGGGACGCTGAGCGAGGCGGAGACTGTTCTTCTTGACGATCACGCCCAGGAATTAATCCGGGTGTTTAGGTCTGGATATAAGAGGCTGAACTGGAACTCACTAGGTAACATAATTTTTCTATTTATTACCTTTTCTTTTTTCCTTTTTGGAGACAGGCCCTTGCTGTGTTACCCAAGCTGGAGTGTAGGGTGTGATCATAGCTCACTGCAACCTCAAACTCCTGGGGCTCAAGTGGTCCTCCCACCTCAGCCTCCTGAGTAGCTGAGACTACAGGCACATGCTACCACACTCGGCTAACTTTTTATTTTTTATACAGATAGGGTCTTGCTGTGTTACCCAAGCTGGAGTGATCATAGCTCACCGCAGCCTCGAACTCCTGGCCTCAAGTGATCCTCCCACCTCAGCCTCCCAAAGTGCTGGGATTACATGCATGAGCCACTGCGCCCGGCCTATTTATGGTCTTTTAGACGTTGGGACGCAAAATTCTTTTAGGTTGTTTTATTTGAGTTACAATTTTTGTATGCTTACAGATATGGTTACCAAATAATTTTTGACGGTTGATAAAATACGCTCTGTGGAACTTACAGCTCGTCTCCAGGCTGCAGGTGGGGTGAAGCTAAGAGGGGTGCCATTGTCACACTCTGCAGACCCAACGTGTTCTCCTCCAAAAAGAAAGCAGCCTTTACTTTTTTTAATTAAAAATTTAATCTGGAGGTAATTATAGATTCACATGCAGTTGTTAAGAATTCCTGGAGAGAGACCCGTGTACCCTTTACCCAGTTCTCCCCAGGGGTGACTTCCGGCAAAACTAGAAGATCACAGCCAAGATACGGGCACCGACACAGTCAAGCTAGAGAACATTTCCACACCGCAGCGACTGCAGCCAAACCCACTTCCCTCTCCTTAACCCCTGGCAGCCGCGAATTTGTCCTCCATTTCTGCAATTTTGTCATTTCAAGAGTGTTACCTACATGAAACGTATTATAGAACCTTTATTGGGTTTGCTTTTCTCGCTCAGCCTAATTCTCTGAAGAGCCATCTGAGTTGTTGCATGTATCAACAATTTGTTCCTTTTTCTTGCTAAATAGTACTCCACGGTATCAACGTACCACTGTTCGTTTAAACCATTCGCCTCTTGAGGGACATCTAGGTTGCTTCCCGTTTGGGCTGTTATGAGTAAAGCTGCCGTAAACATTTGCGTGCAGGGTTTTGTGTGAACACGAGTCTTCATTTTTGTGGGATAAGCGCCTGGGAGTGCAGTTGCTGAGTTGTGCGGCAGTTGCACGTTTAGCTCAGTTCTTTTTTTATTTTTTAGTTGTTACCCTGTTTCACAGGGTGGCTGTGCCATTTTACATTTCCGCCAGCACTACGTGAGCGATCCAGCGTCTCCACGTCCTGGCTGGCATTTGGTGGGGTCGCTATTTTTCATCTGAGCCGCCTGGGCGCTGTGTAAAGACAGCTCGTCGCGGGGCGGATGTGCGTTCTGTAGTGACTGACGGTGTTGAGCGTCTTTTCACAGCCGATTTACCACCTGTCTCCCCTCTCGAGGGAAGGGTCTTTTTAAGTCTCTTGCCCATTTTCTAATTAAGTATCGTTTGCTTTCGTCACTGTCGAGTTTTGAGAGATCTTTATATATTCTGGATGCTGGTCCCTTGTTGGATGCACGGTTTGCCGATATTTTCTCCCACTCCGTAGCGTGTCTGGAGGGTCGTTTGTAGAGCAGAAGTTTTAAATTTCTGAGAAGTCCAGCTTGTCAGTGTTTCCTTTAATGGGTCCTGCCTTTGGTGTCGCGTCTAAGAATCATCGCCTCACCCTAGATGAAAGGTTTTCTCCCTTCTTTTTCCCTAAAAATGTGACAGTTTCATGTTTTACAGTACAGTCCGTGATCAGTTTTGAGGATTTTAAAATACGTAAAGTGTGAGACTGGTCACGAGTGCTTGACCCGGGTTTGCCTTTCGAAGCAGGCCGCTGCGGTGGAGGGTAGCGCGGTGCGTCCGGGGAGCCCGGCGATGAGACAGCAGGGCCGGCGTTCTGTGTCTCCCCGTGTGCCTCGAACGCGGCTGTGCTGAAATGTGAAGAGAAGACGTGTGTCGCTTGGTTGATTCCGGGCACCAGGCTCCTTGTCCTGGTCCCTTAGGGGTGCGGGGTCCCTTTGCCACCCCAAGGCCCAGGGGATTTGGAATGAGCGTGGTCTTCCCCGTGGAGGGACAGTGTGAATGTCTGCAGCGTTGCTGGGGGGTGTGGAGAGACAGACTCGGAAGCCAGGTGTCTTTCTCTTTCTCTCAAAGGTATCGGTGACTACCTAACTCGGTGCAAGCAGGCCGTTGGGAAATTCGAGTCTCTCGTGCACCAGATCCATAAGAATGCGGATGACATTGCCTCCAGGCTCGTGCTAATAGAGGGCATGAATCTCTTTAAATATCCAGCACCCAAAAGCGAGGAAGAGCTGCCAGGTGGGTCTGACTTCTCAGTGCTCCGGTTGCGCAATGAGCGAGAGCCTCTTGGTCGTGGTTTTCTATCTATGTACATGAACGAAACCGTGCAATTGAATAAAACCATTTCTAAGCAACTCAGTCATCTTCCTTGAAAGGACCATGGGTAATTCTTACTTTTTGTCATGTTTTATGGATTGCTGAGATAGTTTAACAAATTCTTTTTTGTTTTTGAGACAGAGTCTCACTCTGTTGCCCTGGCTAGAGTGAGTGCCGTGGCGTCAGCCTAGCTCACAGCAACCTCAAACTCCTGGACTCAAGCGATC